GTTGCAGGTCCATATTGACCTCGCGTGATTCCTCACACAGAATACCCTCCGGTGGGCCTGGCATAAAGCCCATCTCAAAGTCACCAGGACTCAGGGGCGGATTAAGTTCCGGCCGCTCATGCAAGATCATGTAGCGCAACATGCGCTCCTGGAGTTCCCTGAAGCTACCTGTCACGCTAAGACCATGGGTTTTAAGGAGACTCATTAACTCCGCGGGCGGCGTCTCATTGATTCGCTGCTTAAGAGCCCGTACCGATCTGTCTTTTGAGATTTCGCGCATAATCGCGCCGCCCGAACACCCGATTAACTGTCACGCTCGCGATGTGGGCATAACCGACGATCGCGTCGCACAACTGTCACGATTATATAAAAAAAACAAAATTAAACAAAGGGCACTAATGACCAACACTAACTCGTCCTAAATCACAGTCCGACCTACACCCTTGTCGGTGGATGCGACTTCTACGCATTCGCTTTGACTCCCGTTTGTCCATTACAACTCCAATATCAATAAAATAAAATAATAGTCTCACGACTATTTCAATCTCGATTTCCGCGAGTTCCCCACAAGGGATGCCATGTAACACGTTCGTTTATATTTTCCAAGTTTCGCATCGGAAATACGCCCAAATAACGTCGCGTCACAAATTATTTTAAAGGGGAAAGGCCCGAAAGGCGTAATCGCTTCGTCACGGAAAATTAATGAGGGCTTTAATCACCCGGCAATATCAATAATCGTGATTTATCTAATTATAAGTGAGAGACAGGTTATATAAGAATCATTTCTTGAATGGTCAATTGCACTTTTATTCAAATCTCATTATTTTCATCCAGCGTTCGACTTGTGCGTCGGCCAAGTCCGGGCTAGTCTGTTCTGTGCGAATTAACGTACAGGAGACAAAGCGTCGCCTTACAATTTTCCCGCGAGTTTCCGTGGATGCGGTGCAAAATCTACGCACGCAACCACTCGTCCGCGTCCGGCCGATACGATGCCCAGAGAGAGAAATCGAAGCGCACACCGAGAAAAGAACAAGGGTACCTGATCTTAGGAGGAAGCGCTGTAGTGGAAGTCCACGTCCGCTGTCCTCGGAGAAGGTGAATATGTCGATCATGGCGCAGTTGGTCCTTTCCTCCAATGCCTGGTATTCCCGGTAGTAACTGGTGATAGCGCGTCTCACACTTTCACTCATTACGAGGCTTATCTAGCTAAGAATCACGTCGCTGGTCAAAGTCGTACTGTCCTCGCGATCTCACGCTTTCCGCGGCGTCTTCTACGCCCCTCCCTACAGGTACTTAAACGGCTGAGCGCCGCCGGCTACGCACACATGTGCAACTCACGCCGGCGATACTACTTCAAATCCAAATATCCACGCCGATCAAAAATCAGACCTGAAACAGAGCCACATCGTGCGTCGATACTCGGTTTGAATCAACCGAGACCGATGTGGCAGCGGCTCAGGGAAAGGCACGCGGAAGAGAGAGAAAGGCGAACAGGGCGAGCGAACTCAACGGTCGCTCTGCCCGTCACAGTTTTATATAAAGTCAAATCATAATTTATCAATGTGACAGTATCTGCAAGTTTTTCCAGATGCGAAATCCATAAACATCAAGTGGCTGAATTTGTCCCGTTGTCCTAGTAGGTATTTTTTATATTTATAATTTTATAACTTCATATAGTCTCTTCTATAACTCTTTCACTATTACCGCTCCAGGAGTCAAGTAACATTATCATATTGAAGCCTACGTTGGGGAAATATGCTTCATTTAACCACACTTTTAAAAGATCTAAAATTAAAAATTTTATTTGTAAATTCATGCATAATGACGTTAATTGTAACTAGATGGAATTATAAATACCTATGGTCAATTTTCCAGATTTAGTTTCTTCTAGGTTTACCGGTCTAAATAAACTGTTTTCAACAATGGGTTCAAAATTATCGCTAGCTTCTTTCAAAATTAAAGAGCGGTGACAGTAATTCTCCTGCAACTGATGTAAATGCCTGTATAGTATAACTATACATTGTTGATGAAAATGACTATCAACATTGAACTTGTTTTTCTTCTTCAACCACTAGCGTTTTTCCGGAGTGCATCTTCAGTTGAAATTTGCTCTAATCAGAATTATCTACACATGCATTCTAATTGCTTCAATGCCTGCTTTAACATTAGCAATAAACGTATCTGCTTTCGTCATTAGTTTTGAATTACTTTCTAGTTTTTAATATTTTTTTTTATAATTTAACTTTTCTGTATATCATGACGCTTAATTTTTTTTTGACTAATTCTGAATTATTTTTTAATAAAAATAAGTACGAAAAAGGTATAATTTTCAATGAAAAAAAAACAAGGGTTACTATACTAGCAGTTGGAATTATGTTAATTGTATTTTTACATTAGAAGTAATGCGCAGTGCAATCCATAGTAAATTATTAATTAGAACCTGTAGAATATTTAAAAAAAGTGTTTCGGGAGTGGTTTTTTCATTTTGGGAGTATTTTAAAAGACAATTTCGAATAGATTAACTTTGTTTTGGTATTCAATCAACTAAATGATTTTTTTCTAAAAAATGGTAGAATTGTCCATAAAAAAATAAGGGTTGCACTCTTTACAGTTAGATCTACATGCACTAGTTCCGCATTGATATAAGAAGCGAAATGAAAAATTATTTCATTTGTGACGGAGAATTCCGGCCGTACCCGTCTGGGTTGCTCGCGACCGTCCGCACAAATTATTTATTCGGGGATTCGGGAAGCAAAGGACGTTCCCACGACTGAATAACGCGTCGAGCATAAACACGTTAAACGCACAGATTCGAAGTCGGGATGAGGAGTGATACAACGGCGAATAAACACAACAGCGTAACATTAATACGCTAGTCTTTAATTGTCAACAAACGATTACAATACGGCAACCTCGGACTTACACACTACGAGCGGTACAATAACAAACGCGAACGCGAAGGTGAATCGGTGGCTGGTCAGCCTGCCGATTCCCTTATAAAAACTAGATATTATACAAATGCCCGATAAACACTTTTCGCTGATAGGCTATTAACGGGTAGCCAGCAGGTCTGCTGTGCTACCAACCATAGACTGACGCCCGAACATGCAAGAGAGAGAGACAAGAGAAAAATACGGCACCGATCTCGACCTTCAGCCTCTCCGACGGCTGGAGCGCTCTGCACCGTGACGTCACTGGTGTGCTCCTCGCTGACCGTATCGCTGGTATATCTGTCTGCTGGCTCGTCCTCTCGCTCGCTCCGCAATATTGCCGCCTTAACCGCAACCCGCTCGTTGATCGTTGTTGCTGCTGTCTTCGCCGCCCTTTTATTGTCCTGGACGACAGCCCGCCCTGACTGCTCGCGCGCGCACCCGCGCACCTCGCCGATAACTCACACGCACCGGTGCCGAGTATACTTCGGGACACGGCTGGGCGCGACCCAGCCTCACTCTCCGATACTCGTCCGCGCACCAGGCGTGTCTCCAAAAACGAACAAAACGTTAACGAGTTCGCGAGGCCAACTCGAAAAAACCGTGGCCTTTTGGTTTATCCGCGCACGCGACTTTCTCTGCTCCTCGCTTAGCAGAGACTCCCCGAATTTTCCGCGGCGATCCGCAATTCGAGCGCTCTCTCTCTCTCTCTCTCTCTCTTTCTCTTTCTCTCTTCTTCTGCGCCATCTGCGTCGCTCCAGCAGTCAGCTCAGCCCATGTTCAGCACCTCGCAAACAAAAGGTCCAAGCATGAGTGTGTGTGCCAAACGTACACACTCTCAGCCTGGCGCGGTGCGCGGACATTTGCGAGAGCTAAACGGACGAGATCGGCCTAGCCGAGATTCTCCGTCACACATTGTCAAATATTAATTAGAACTTGAGATAAATTGCAAAATACATTTTTGAGGGCGGACTTTAAGGGCAGATTCCAAGGTATTTTAAGGTGTTTTTCCGCCGAAAAGAACACGTGCTATTTATTTTTCTATGATCTACAATATATCAAAAGAGTATAAAAATTAATGAGGTTAAGTTGGAGGGTTTTCTTGTGAATTACATTTTAGAACAATTGTAAATTTATGCAATATTCATTGATTCTATAAGTTATTTAATTGTTTACCAAGCTGACACTGTTTGTCCCGTTTATTTAAAGTATTTTTAATACCCTTAATTCTTATTTATCCATATTCAGAAAGGGAACAGGATGCAGTAAGCTAATCAATGGTAGATAGCAGCTACAGCATTTGCGATTATTTCAGTAGTTATATTTATCGATTTCCGTTTAATCCTCTATCATAATTCGGTTAAATTTTAGGGTTTAATTTCGTACACTCGATCTTTTAGATAGTCTTAGACGAAAAAAAGAATCTAGAAGTGTTAAATTTGGTGATCTAGTTTGTCATTCAATCGTACTTTGCTTTATCCACCGATTAACAAATACTACATCTAAAAAATTACAAACATGAAGTGCTGCATAGTATGCTCGTGTGCTGTATTGTTGGAACCATATATTTATAAAATTGTCTCCAGCTATTTTTTTTATGGAAGACACAATTTGTTTTCGTAGCATTTCTTCGTAGTCAAATTGTCAAATAAAATTATCTCTTACTTAAAGACTTTTTACAAAAGGTGCAATATCTATAAACATATTGTAAACTTTTATATTTCTATCAACATGTATCACCATCAGCAAAATTTATAATAAAACAATATATTACTGGTAGTTCACCGTAGCGACTAAAACCACGACGTTAACTGCTAACTATCATCTTAGGTCTGATATAAGAGGGTTCATAGAAAGCTTTGAATTGTTTTTAAGTTACGGTAGTAGACGCGATAATTTAGCTGCATAATTGCTATTCTATGACCTATTGTTACGCTTTCATTACGTCAACCGCTTTTCAAATGAATCATCACTTGTTATCTACATAATATAGACTAACATGAAAATAAATAATAAAATTTACTTTAGGCTACTCTTTGGAAGATTGTCAAAATTAAATTTTTTTTCTAGGTTAAAGTAATGTTAAGAGTTTCATCCGCTGAAGGTGAAAGTTGTTTCAACGCCGATAAGCGAAAGAAACAAGTGACACTTGTAGATCCCACGTCAGCGCAATCTTCCACAGCTGAGGATCGAAGACCTACTGTTTCAGCACCAAAAATGTTTGCTTTTGACGCTATTTTTACTGAAGAAGATTCACAGGTAACGATCTTATACAACGATCTTATATGTGATATTAAAACACAACTCACATTAATTTTATTAAAATAAATGACACATGAATATATCGACTGTATATGAAACAATGTGATGAAAACCACAAGTCAATTTTAGCGTTATAAATATATTATATTGTAACGGTCTGGAAAAATGATTAAATTATTCTCGCGGTCCGTTAAGAATTTTGTTTTCGCTGTTCGGTGCGGGGCTCACCGCCGCCCCGATCAGCTAGCCGCTTCCTGGCGTTCCGCCGAATACGGGCGGGCACGCGCTGCCCTGAAAAGGGATCGCGAAAGCACGGCTAAGCACGAGAGCGTGCGTGGGTTCTAATCACGGGCGTGGGAAGGGACAGAGGTGCCTTCCTAGGTACGCCCAACACAACGACAACACTAGTGCAGGTCAAATCGGGCTTTATTCTTTTAGGCAAATCTTATACACAATATCGCGTGCCGAGATTTCGCTATCAATGTTATTTTAGAGAGAGAGACGCTCGCTCGCGCAACTATCGCACGCTAAATAATCGCTTGCAAACGCAACGAAACTCACCGTGAAGTAGCTGCTGCAGACAGACTACCCCTCGCTAGTCGCCCGCGATGTCGCCCTTGCTCGGGCGGGCAAGTTCTGCCCCTGGTGATCGCCCACTCGAGGTGACGATCTACAGGTTCCGGCGATCCTCGGGGATGGTCTCTACTTCCTTGCGCACTTTCACTTTTGTCTCTTGCCGGTCGCTCTCCTTTTTCTTTCGTTCGTGCGCGCACGTGACGATCCTTCGAGCTCGCCGGTCTCAGTCTAAGTCCCTCTAAATCGATTTCTCTCCCCACTCTCTGCTACGGCACGCGCCTGATCGAGTCTCGTTCTGTCTCTCTCTCTTCACTCCTCGCTCGCTCGCCCGCTTCGCCATATATATATATATATATATATATATATATATATATATATATAGGTTAATCTACGTCAAACGGATAATGACTCTATCTAAAATTGTAGATTACCAAAAAAAGCGTTGGATAGGCTCAAAATTTTCGTTTTATATTCTACTTTCTTTTACGATGTGACGATTTTGAAAAATCTAAAATGGCGTCTCCAATATGCAGACTCAAACCCAGAGATTTCATAAAAAATTTTCAAAAATAGATTTTAATTCATTCAATTGTGATTTTAAGTATTTTTTTATACCAGAAATAAATTCAGCGTTCAATTTTACATAGGAATATAGTATTGCACTCTAAGTAAAATATTTTACAATGTCATCTGAAGGTCAAATCGGAAAACAATAGTTATTTCTTGAATTACTAATTAATTAATATTGATTAGTGAGGAAATGAAGATACTCATAGGTATTTCAAGTCACTGAATCCAAATATGATATTCATTTAACCATACGAGGTCTCGATCAAAGTTATTTAAAGGTAAAATTCCGAATATTTTTTATTTTTTGATAAGATTAGGACACCCACAAGCTTTACGTGTCGCTGAATCCGAATCCAACTTGACCTTAATCGAGCCTGATGGGGTTGAACGGATATCAGATTTGGATTCAGTGACACGAAATATTTATGAGTACTTCCGCGGGTTGGAGCGAGGAAGGCTGGCCACCGCGGGGCAGAGCCGATAGCTGCTCCTTTTCCACATGTCGACTAGCTTTTCCGGCGCCCTCGTGTATTAAAGTGTGGTAGGCACCAGCGCAGTTTCTACAAGTATTGTTGGAGGGACAGTTTCTAGCGGTGTGATTGCCGCTGAAACAGTTGTAGCAGAGTCCCTTCGCCGCTACCAATTTGCGCCGCTCCTCTGGTTCGAGCCCGCGGAAGGTCAGGCAGTGGCCGACGTAATGGGCCTCCTTGCATGCCGGGCATCCGCAAATAGTGCCCGTGGCATGAGCCCGGATGGTTCTCGAACCGGTGGACGGAGCTGGCTTCTTGCAGCTGGTCAGCGATTCGTCGGCAGCCGACGGAAACATCTGGCCGATGGCGCAGCGTGCAATATCGCCGCTGCAGAAACTCCGTAAATTGGTTGAGAGATCCTTCACCGGTCGTCGATGCGGAGTCAGAGGAAGCGCTGGGCTCAGGTTCCTCCTCCCAAGCTCTGTTCAGGTTCCTCCTCCCAAGCTCTAGGGAGCGAACGCCCATGAAGACGAACCAGTCGTCCCACGACTGGACTGGTCGGCCGAGGCGCTCGAGCTGGGTACAACATCTGAGGAGCTCGTCCATGAGTGTCTGGATGCCTTCGGGTGTTTCCGTCGTGAAGGGTCGCAGATTAACTAGTGTGGCCAGGTGATCCCTCACCTGGAGCTTGGGCTGGTCGTACCGGCGGCAGAGCGCTTCCCATGCCTGCCTGTAGTCGCTGGCAACGGAGCGGAAAGGGCGCAGCGCCTCCGCGGCGGGCCCCTTGACGCTGATTTTCAGATACCTGATCTTTGACGCGTCGCCCACCATGGCGTTTTCGTGGATGTGAAGTCAACAAATATGTCACGGAAGGACTCCCAGTACTCCGGTTTCCCGCTAAAGGTGGGCAGCTCGAGGCGGGGCAGCTTCGCCTGGGGAATGTCACCCCCATCGACCGCTGCCGCCGTCGATCCGGCTGGAGTCGAGGTGTACTCGGACGCAGCAGCGTATCAGGCCTTGTGGACGAGTAGTGTACTACGTCTCTCCGCGTAGAGCTCTTCGACAGTCAGATAGTGTTGCTTGATAGATAGTCGCGAGCCTCGTCTTCGCTCATTGTCAGTAGGTGGCCGTGGTTCTGATGGAAGTTGCGCCAATAGCCTTCCAGGAGCTCCAGGCGGATATCGATGGTCCCCACCGTCCAGCTCCCTACTGGTATCTCGGCGACCTTCTCTGCCGATCTCTGGATCGCCTTCTTAAGCTCATATTGAATGAGAATTAAGTCCATCTGTCGAGAGCATGAATTGGTTTTAGTGTATGTGCCCGAATAGGGCGAACGGCACGATCAGCCACCTTTCGCCCGAGGCTGACCTCTCGGCTCGCGTCGATGGTGCGCTGAGATGAACGAGTTCGGCCCAGGTAAATGATCGGTTGAGCACAGTCGACCCGGCCTGGCTCGGAAAACCAACCCTGTGCGCTCGTCCGAAGCGTTCGCTCAGCTCTTTCAATGCGAGGAGGTTTCTCGGTAAGTCATGGCTCGCATCTTCACCATTCTCGGGTGGTCCTCCTTCGAGCTGCCCGAGCCACTTGGCCCGTTCCCCTCTCCCGATCTAGCTTGACACCGAGTCGCTTCTCGCGCCGGAAGAGATCGTCTGCGGCGGCTACCTGCCGCGGCGCCCGTTGATGGCGTACGTTGCCGTCGTCCTCGGCAGCTGTCCGCTGAGACGCCCGTTGATGACGTGCGTTGCCGTCATCCTCGGCGGCTGCCGCTGAGTCGCCCGCCGTGGGCCTAGTGCCCTTGTCAGTAGAGAGGCTCGTCAACGGTGGCCGCCTGCCACGACTGCTAGAATTCACGCCAAATCGCGTTCTCAAGCGCTCGAGCACTCGTCAGGTTCCCGTCTAACCCAACGCCCGTCGTCGGCGCTGGTGGCCGTCGTCATCGGCGGCCGCCCGCCGTGACGCCCGTGGATCGAGTCGATGGTTCAAATCTGAGGTTGAAAAAGACGTGGATGCGCCGTGCGTCACTCGTTCGCCATTGCGTATATTTCGCTTGAACTCACCGTGAATCCTTTTCGGCGTATCCGGCTCGAAGGACCAAAATGTTTGCTGGTAGTGAAAACAAGAAGACGGGTTGATCGCAATGGCACTTTATTTTTTCTTCTTGGACAAAACTTTTTTACAGGGAGATTAATTTGGGCTTGACCGACAATTTTCAAGCGCTTAGAAAGAGTGACAAGAAACAATTTAATAAAAAGACAGACGCGGCCAAAAGGCGGCGGGCGCGGCGTAGAGGGGTTTCGAGCTCCGAACCCCCCCTTTCTCGTCCCTTTTCCTTCTCTAGAAAAGCGCTCTCGTTGGTCACTTGCATCAAACACCATTGTTGCAACTTCTTAACTAATAAATCTTAACAAATAAATAAACACCAATAATCACAGATTTTTACATAAGGACTTTTGCACGTGTTGTCGCCTTGCGCACACGGAAAAAACTGAAGAGGTCAGACGCGAGCGGTTAAAGGGCGCTTTCTCTTTCTTTTGGACTAGCGTGTGATATTAAGCTTGCCTATCGGAGGGATACTACATATGTAATGTATGAGAGCGAGGACGCAATATAATAAATACGATACAATACAATATTAAAAAAGGATACATTCATAGAAATCTCCACGTAGACCGAGGCAAAGAGTTCTACAATTCAAGTTTTCAGAATCTAATGACTAAATATAAAATAAATCTATATTCAATCTATAACAATATTAAGGCATCTATTTGCGAACGTTTCAATCGTACGCTAAAAAATATTATGTGGAAAAAATTCAATCTATAAGAAAATTACAAATAGCTCGATATTCTTGCTGATTTATTGAAATCTTACAAGAATCGAAAACATCGTACAATAAATATGAAGTCTAAAGATGTGACTAAAGAGAATAAAATGGAAGCGTTAAGACGATGTTCCTATAACCAACGTCTTTTTATCAAGAAATCGTAATTCCGAGTAGGCGATAAAGTACGAGTAAGCAGGTCTAAACACGTTTTCAAAAAAGGATGTACTTCCAACTGATCTACAGAGATTTTTACTATTCAACAGGTTACAAAGATAAAGCCTATCACATATCATTTAAGAGATTACAAAGATAATGCAATTGTTGGAGAGTTTTACGAGCAATGACTACAGAAACCTATGTATCCTGATGTTTATCTTATTGAAAAAGTTCTAAGAAAATGCGACTAACAAGTATATGTAAAATTGCTAGGATTCGACAATTCGCACAATTCGTGGATTGATAAGACTGTATACATACGAAAAAATAAAGAAGTTTATGTAAAATAACTTTTATTCAAATAAATATCACAATAATAAATAACTTTTGTTTTGTTTTTT